CCTCCCCAGGCTCCCCAGCCGGCGCCCGGCGCCCGATGCGGCCTTTTGCAGTTGTGCATAACTTTGCATGAAGGGTTTGCTTCCTTTATGCCTCAGTTTCCCGCCTGGAGGTGAAAGGCCATGAGATCCTTAAATGGCCTCCCCCTGAAAGCCAAACAGGTTCCCAGCTGCAGAAACTGGGTCTCTGGAGCCCCTGGCACCCCACTTTCCACAGAGCAATGCTGCTTTCCCTACCATCACATAGTCAGTCAACAAACGTGTTACACACGGGTCGTAGGACAAGCAGGACAGAACTTGAATCCCACTGCTGACACCGCAGCTGAATGGCCTCAGCAAGCAACCTCCCTGGCTCCCACTGTCCCCAGGTGATGGGGGCAGGAGTAGTGCTTCCTGAACACTCTTCCAGTGCAATGGCCAGGACCTAAGGTCTAGGTTCAAGTTGAGCTGAGCCAGTTCTTGTCCGTGGGGCTTTGCCCAAGGCCTGTGCCCTTTCTGAGGTGCCAATGCGTCACCTGCTGCACAATGCCAGGCACAGCAGATGCCTCACGAGGTGGCCGGGAGGGTCCAGAGTAAATATTTCACCAGATTTTGTGGTGCACACCTATGATCCCAGCACTCTGGGAGGCTGAGGCAGGAGGATCACCACATAGAGTCCCACCTGAACAACTTAGGGACATAGCAAGATGCAACTGGGGACCTAGCTCAGTATGACAGGCCTGACTTTGAGCCCCAGCATGGAAAAAAACGAATAAACAGCATACAATGGTGAGCTCGTGTCTGGGTGTCCGGGATGCCGCTCCCCTCTCCCTGGGCTTCACCGGGATCCAGGGCAGCCGATCGGGCAGAGGCCTCTTTCACACAGCTGCAAGGCGAGAGGCCCATTCAGCCCCCAGAGGGTGCCAGGCCCTCCCCGCGGGCCAGAGCAGGCTGCCGTGCCATGCGGGGCCTCACCCCACGACCCTCTGTCACCTCCGGGGGCAGCCGTGGGGCCCGAGGCTGGGCCCTGGGACACCCTGGCCACCTGACATTCCTGCGTCAGGCTGGATCCACAGTGCTGCCGGGCCGAGGATGCACTCCGGAGGTGGCCGGCCGCCCTCTCTGCCCGGATTCTGCGCGGTGTCCAGCATTCCTGTCCACCTCTCCAGCCCCGTTTGCTCTGCTCAGGGCCCCCCCCCACGGACGCTTATTAAAGACACTAATGCGGGCCACACCCTGGACAGTTTGAGGAGTAGACCCGTAGGGCGAGGGCACCACTGAGGAATTCGACAGGTGGTTCTCACGGGAGCCACAGCCAGGGTGACCGCGCTACCACCCTTCCCCTCCCACTCCTAGGCCGCTCTGCCAAGTCTGTCTCGGTGACTGCCGGGCCTCAGTTTCCCTATCTGTAGAATGGAGACCAGCTGCTTTATACTTGTGAAAACTTATTGAGACAACGTGTTTCCGAAAGCATAAAGGGCAGGGGACTTAGCTCAGCAGCTCTGCACCTGCCTCAAAAGCACAAAGTCCTGAGTTCGATCCCTGGTACAAAATAAATAAATAAATAAGAGAAAGCACAGCAGCCAGCAGTGGTGGTGCCCACTTGTGACCCCAGCACTCAGGAGGCTGAGGCAGGAGGATCACAGTGAGTTCAAGGCCAGCCTGAACGACACAGGGAGATCCTGTCTCAACAATAAATAGGTACATACATATGGAAAGTAAGGGCTTAGAAGAGAGCTTCATAAATGCTAATCTTTTTATGATTCACTCTCTCCCAGCCTTGGTTGGCTCTTATAGGCAATAACAGACTCTACTCGCCTGAGGGAGTGGACATGAGTTACCCCGGGTGTGGCGTTTTCTATTCTCATTGGTTCTCATCAGTTATCATAACAAAAATAAGTGGGCGTGGCGGTCCTCGCCTGTCATCCCGGCACTCTGGGAGGCTGAGGCAGGAGGCTCCCAGGTTTGAATCCAGCCTGGGCAATTTGGTGACTTGGCAAGGCCCTGTCTCAGAACCTTTACAGATTTAAACAAGATTGGGGGTGCAGCTCGGTGCGAGGGCCTGGATTCCGTCCTGATTAGGGCTCTGACCCAGGGCTAAGGCCCGCCCGCCCTGCCCCGCGGGCCGCCACTCACGTAGATGAGGCCGGAGTAGTAGCGCTCACGGAGGTTGTGCAGCACCGAGGCCTCGTTCAGGCAGGTGAGCTCGGCCATGTCCTCGGCCTTGCTGAACTTGGGCGGGTTCATGCGCTGGACCTGGTCCCGCGGCAGCCACAGCCGCCGCCCGCTCTCCGCCAGTTCCACCTCCGCCTCCTCATCGCCC